AGAGAGAGAGAGAGAGAGAGAGAGAGAGAGAGAGAGAGAGAGAGAGAGAGAGAGAGAGAGAGAGAGAGAGAGAGAGAGAGAGAGAGAGGGATTGGGGGAAAGAGCGTGAAATATGGGAAGAATTATCGATCGCTTGAAATATCTGGCGCGTGCCAGTTAGATGATTAATCGTGAGCGCGCCCTCAAAGAGCGAGGAAGAATGTTAAAGAGGAAGAGCTTGAGGAGGCCGGAGACGTGCGTTGGGTGGTGAAAAGGACCGACGAAGAAGAAGGTGCGAGAAAGGAAGAGCGTGAGGATGTGGAGGAGGAAGAGTGCGGGGTCAAATTTCTCCTCCTGTTCTCCCCTTCTCCCTCTCTCTTATTTGCGCGCGTGCAGGCCTTATGTTCACCGGAAAAAGAAGAAAATGAAATGCGCTTCTGAGGTCGTGCATCACGAACGAATGGAGGGTGGGCGGAGGGACGAAGGAGGGAGGCAGGGCATCTGGCGGAGGGAGGAATGGAGGGAGGAGGTCAGGTGGACACGGGGCCAAGGAAAGAAGGGGAGGAAGGAGGTCGGGGGAAGGAGGAGGTCAGTGCGAATCGGGCAGAGGAGGAAGGGGAGGGAGAAGATCGGGGGAAGGAGGAGGTCAGGCGGAGATTGGGCGAAAGAAGCCGAGGGAGGAAGGTCAGAGGGAGGTTGAAGAGGAGGCAGGTCAGAGGAGGAGCGGGAAAGGAGGGAGGCAGGGGAAGTAGGGATGAGGCGGGGCAGAAAGGAGGCCCCATGAAGGGAGGGGAGGAAGGAGATCGGGGGAGCGAATCGGGCAGAGGAGGAAGGGGAGGGAGAAGATAGGGGGAAGGAGGAGGTCAGGTGGAGATTGGGCGAAAGAAGCGGAGGGAGGAAGGTAAGAGGGAGGTTGAAGAGGAGGCAGGTCAGAGGGAGGTTGAAGAGGAGGAGGTCCGGAGGAGGCCGGGAGGAACGGTAGAGGAGGCAGGGAGAAGTAGGGATGAGGCAGGGAAGAAAGGAGGAGTGAATGCAGAGGTTGGGTGGTGTATGGGGGGAGGAGGGAAGTGGTCAAGCGAAGGGGGAGGAAGGGATACACACACACACACACACACACACACAGAGAGAGAGAGAGAGAGAGAGAGAGAGCTGTCTCTTATACACATCTAGATGTGCCCCCCCGGTAAGCAAGGCATTTCTAGGCTCAACAAAGAAAGTGTCGTAATTACTAGTGGCTTAAGAAAAGACCATGGTGTATAGTAATTTTGTTGTAGTTCATAAATGACAAAAAATGAAGCAAAGCCTCATCGTTTTATTTTTCACTTTTTTTTTTTTACTCTAATTTATTTTGTGGGGAGCATCACATGCTCCGAAATGGACCCATCATCAACAAATAAAATTAGAGAGCATACTCAGGTAAGCACAATCTTAAATGTATCCGCCTGTAGTCACGACCCTACTTGGATGTACCTGATCGTGATTATGTCTATAAATAAGTAAAAAAGTCTTGCTATAAGTATACCCTGAAAATGGTCCATAGGCCAAGGAAAATCACACAACATTGATTACACTGGCAACATCGCCACACACACACACACACACACACAGCTTTGTTCGATGGACGAACGTGGTTGTGGTTTCATCCCAGGTTCAGAGAGAGAGAGAATAAGAGAGAGAGAGAGAGAGAGAGAGAGAGAGAGAGAGAGAGAGAGAGAGAGAGAGAAAGAGAGAGCATACAATCAATTGCATGAGAACAGATATCAAGGATACACCCAATTGCATCACACCGCCAGGAATGGTTCTGAAACGAAGTGAATGAACTCACAATTACTCACTCAAGCAAATTGAGAAGTCTCAATTTGATGAAGCCCGTCCACGTGCCTGGGCGAGAAACTTGATCACCATCCTCACTCTCGCGGTCACACCCCGACGGATTTCACCTACGGATTGTCTGCATTGCCTGAGGGTTGATTGCATGATATAACTGCAACCCAAGACAGAACAAGACATGACTTAGCAACTCCTCTTCAACCTTCATCAAGCCGGCAAAACATTACATTCATACTGACCCCAAATTCTCTCATCAAATACTCATAGGCCCCAATAATCTTGTTCCTTTTTGTTTTTTAGCATGAATAAATTTTAGACAGTCATGCAATTTGTTTCACTCAAGTTGAATAATATTCTGGATAAAATCAATGGCGGGCTAAACATAATAATAATAAAAAAGTTTTAAAAATACATACTACCATAATACTGGCTAATAGGTTTTTGGTCTAACATTACTACATCCTTGAATTCATGCATCCATTTTTTATTTCTATTTTTTTAATCTTTGAATCTTAATTTCTTGCCCTCCCCATCAGTGCTTATCTCTCTATATGTGACTTGTTTGTTGTGAAATCATTCTCAAAGTGATTAGGGTGATGATTTAAGAGGATAGTTCTCTACCATTTTTCCCTTAACATAAGCCACCTTGATAATGAACGTATATCAGCTAGTTTTTCAATCCAATGCACTCAAAATGAGGGTGCATTGTGTTCGGGGGAAGACGACAATCCAATTAATCCCATCGCCATAGCACAAAAACAGATATGGTTTGGTACTCCCATTTTTTTTTTGCTTTATTGATTCTGTTTTTTCTTTCTTGTTTAGCATAAACAAATTGTGCTTTCCCACATGCAGATGGGAAAAAAGTAGGTTTTTTTTTTTTTTTTTTTTTTTTTTTAACACACTAGATGAGGTCAACAGCCCGGTTGCTTATCGTTGGCAAGCCTAGAACAAGGTTCAAAGTTAGAATAAAAAAGCAGCAGTGATCCGTTGAAGAAACAAATATGCCAACTTTAGTTTCTCCTATGGTCCATCTCCTATCACATCATCTCCTCATCAGTATCGCGCTTGGACATTACAGAAGGAGGTGCTCCACTGTTTTGCTACTTCCTCCGACAAGGTTGGAAGATCAACAACTCTTGCACCAGGGGACGAAAACTTCTTTCTCTTCTAAATCTATCTAATCGATTAGCCAACAGTACTGCCTTTGGACATTGCAAAAAGGTGTGTCCTATTGTTTTGTTAATATATCCGACAGGGTTGGAAAGCCAGCAACACTTGCTGAAAGGGACCAAAATTCCTTTCTCCTCGAAATTTGTCTAGTATATTCAATTAGTCAATCGATAAACCAATGACTTTGATACATTAGGTTTAAATAAAAATAAAATTAAAAAATAAAATGGTACGCGTCTATGCACACCTATGCATAACCTTCCATAAAGATTGCAAAGATGTCAGATTTGAACAATCGAGAATTGGATTGTGAGACCTGAGCTCTTCCACACCCTGTGCGAAGGAGTGGTAGGTGGGTTTCTGCTCTTTGTGGCAATCAAACGTCCCTAACTCTAGGCGTGGGACTCCATCTTCGGAGGTCAGGAATAAGTTTAAGACATCTACCACGGACCTCGTCGTCGAACCATAAGAACTTAATAAGCATATTAAAAGGGGTCACTTCTTTTTTTTCTACCCTGATCCACTGGATCCTTACACACTTTCAAAATAGACCACGCAAATGCACAATATATAAATGTAAAGAGAAATTAAGCACGAGACAATCACTCTCACAATCACAGTGTGACTTCTTTCCAAATATAAAAATGATCGCAGATAAAGTCAAATATGGATTTCAACTCACAAAGCATGCCTGCAATTACACGTAAATTTAATATCATCAACCCACACACTACACGGGGTCAACTCCAACCACTGACACTCTCTGCACTCACACCTTTTGCCTTATTAAAATAAATCTTAACCTTTGTCCAACCTTCAAAAAAAAAACACTAATCCTTTTTGAATGACTATTTAATAAAAGTCTTGGTAAAAACCCAAAGAAACAATATACCTCACAGAGCCTAGGGCTTTAGGTTGAGTTGCGAGAATGAGGTAGAGTTGAATCGCAGACTCACAATTCGGCAACCAACTAGTTATCAATGATAATCGAAGATTATCCTTACAAGATCAGGTTGAAACTAGTCATACCTTAAATCAAAATAAGCGAAAAGGACATGTAACACAACACATGCAAATGCAAACTATGCTTAAGTATATGAAGGGTAAGACCCTATTTCACATCTCACTCAAACGTTTTTCAAGGCTAAGTCTAAACTTATCTCTAAATGGTATAGGAGATTAGGGAAAATTATGGCAACGTCTCCCCTATACAGGGTGGATGCCAAAGTTTTTCCTACCAAATATAATTTAACTCCTCGAAGCTATAAAATTTTCGGTAGCACTCCCTCTAGAGAAAACGTTTTTTCATCATTTATACTAAAACCAAATATAAATTTAAAATGATACTTTGACTTTGCAGGGTCAAAATTTTATTTAAATTTCCAAATTAGTCAAATTTTTTACAGCACTTCCTCTAGAGAAGTAGACTTTCAAAATTTATACTAAGTCATATATAATTTGAAGAGAAAAGTTTGAGTTTTGCAAAGACTAAGTTTAACCAACTCTTTAAATTTGTATAAATTTTGGCAACACTTACCTTAGTTCCTTGATTTATTAAAAAATTGGCCAACACTTGTGTAGCACCGGGTTCACATTCGGAGGCGAACCCGAACATGTTCGCCCGAACGCGAACTAATGCCCAAAACCCTCCGAACGTAAACATAATAAAAAAAAAGTCTCTGAAAAATCTAAAAAAAAAAAATATATCATGTAAAACAACAATATATGCAACATTTACCTTGGAGTCATGTTCAAATTCTTAGCCAATCATGAGTTAAAAATCAAAAACCAAATTATTTTATTTTATTATACGAAAAAAAAGTGTTCGCCCGAACATGTTCGCGAGTTGTTTGTGCGGAGGGGCGAGAACACATTCGTCGTGCTACGCAGGCCAACACTCCCCTTATACGAGTAGGTTTTCAATACTTTACTAAGTCAGATACGTAATTAGAGAAAAATTAAAATTTAACAAACTCCCTGAAGTTGTAGAAATTTTGGTAGCACTTCAATTCGCGAACATGCTCTTTCAAAATTTATATCAACCAGATATGAAGTCATAACAACATAACATTGAAAAAACAAAAATTGAACTAACTCCTATGGCGCCAACACATGACGAACATCTTACATATAGCATAACGTTAGGCCATTTTGTGTAGAAACAATGTCTAGTATGCCTTAGGTTATACACGAACTGGTTGCACAACTACTTCTTTTATCTTACGACATGTGATCTACTCATTCTTCTTAAAAACAATGCATTGTCGTCATGAACTGTTTAAACCACCAGTACCTCCGCCAGTGTTAAGAAATTACGATGTTTTGGGGGTGGGACATAGGGTCGGCAATGTCATATAAATCTGAATTTTATAGTGACGGAAAAAAGGGGGAAAAAAAATTGCTTTCTCTATTGAAATGATGTCGGGCTGGGTAGTCCAGGAGGCTGTACTCACAATCTTCCTCCACATAATGCACCTTACAGGTAAGGCGGTCACATTTGGAATGTTACTGTTCTCTTTTTTTTCTTGGTTGTGTGTTTGTTATGAGTCCCCTGTCCGTGAATTGCTCAAGTTGTCCATGATCTGCTCAAGCTTCGTTTTGTCAGAGGATTGTAAGGCTCATCACACTGGCACTTAGGGGAATGTATCCATCCATTTCACGGCCGGATCCATGTGCCCGTTTTTTTCTCCTTTTATTCTCTTTTTAAAATATGACAACCTGGTCACCGGGCTGAGATACCCTTATTGAGGGCACACTCACACTACCACTTCCAAGAATGTATACAACTGCAATCACGTCCAAAGCTTTGTTTCCTTTTTATTTTTTTATTTTTTTTAGGTTCACGGCCGCAACTTTTTTTTTTTTTTTTTGTTCTTTCCGTGAGAGTATCAGAAAGAAAACGAAGTGGTACCCAGACTCGGCAAAACTCGGGGCGCGGTGAAATTTAAGGTCGGCAAAAACAGGCTCAGAGGTACTGATGGTTTAAATAACCAAAATTTAAATAATTCTTTAATTTGACATTTGAGCAGGGGACTGGACTATTCGGCTTATAAACAATGTTCAACTTGCCTAATTTACTTTCAGTTATACTTTTGACTTTACTTCTTTTTTTAGTGACATGGCTCAAGTTAGACCATTCTTCTTAGAAACAATGTCGAACTCTCTGTTCACAAATATAATTAAGTATTTTCAATGTATACTCGTTTGCACTTAGTGTGTGGCTTCAGGCTAAACTATTTTGGTTATAAACAATGCTTAGTCTTTCACAAAAAAACCTTACTCGTAATATAACAAAAAACTTAACCAT